AGTATCATTTCTTTTAAATCTGTTCATAAGAAAAAAATAACTAAAATATGTCGCTTTAGCACTAACAGCAGATGTTATAAAGCATATTCAAAACACACTGATAAAAGGAGAGTAGGCAAAAAAAAACCCCAAACCACCTAACTAAATCCACAAAAGTTATCTGCTTCAGTATTTCTCCACCTGTTACAGAATGAAAAGATATTTTTACAAGTAAAACATAGAAGGATGAGAACATCTTTATATACTTAATGAGATATAACTTGGGCTTCTTGGAAAAGTATGAATCAATTTTCTTCTTTCTTGTATACTTTAGATTGGGACAATAGAAATTATATTACTACAGTCAGAAAGAAGGCTTGTGGAACCATTAAATATACAGTATGTTGAATTTTCCCACCGAAATAGTCCCCTGTCATTTTTGCCTCCTAGAGGAACGATCCTTTTCTTTGTTTTCCTAGCATCACCATGAAATGATGACAGAATAGTAATAATAACAGCTAATAGCAATAATAACAGTTAATAGTAATCTTTTGAACTGACATAGCTCTTCCTCTGAGTTTTCTGCAAGGAAGAACTGGATTTCATGAACTTCCTTAAGCTTTCTATTTTCCTTTATATATTCTTACAATTACTTAGCTTCCTACATTTTAATTTACATCTAATATGTGCAGAAAAAGTATACGTATAAATGCTAAATGAGAAAACACCATTTTGGATAAAGACAGTGGAGAAAATGTTATCAAGAACACAGATCCTCAAAAACATCTGTTCTGTTAATGAAACAACAGCACAGGTTTCTTGCATTCATTGTGCATTAATAGTATGCTATTCACAAAATATCTTACAAGGACCCCTTAGCTTGTGTTTCTCAATCCCCAACCACACAGTCACCTTCCTGGTAAACAATGGACAGGACTGTTCATGTTTAGTAGAGTTCTACTCCATACAAAATTGACATTAACTTTAACCTACAAGTTCCTGGCACAAGAACTTCACTTTTTCTATTAAAGAAAAATAAAAAAAAATAGTTCTCAGCCATCTGCCTGTTTACTCTGTTTTCAGCTTTTCTTCTGTTACAGCCTAGGTAATTTGTCAAAAAGAAGATAGTTTATTTAAATTTTAAAAATCAGATTATACTTTTAATTAATTTCAGTAAAAGTAATTACATATACATTTTTCCTTATGTCAAAAAAAAGCTATTAAATTTTTGTGCATGATAAAAATTTACAAAAGCCAAAAACAGTAAAAGAGAGCAAAATCCAGCTTTTATATTGGGCATGCAGAGAAACTGTTGTGAATGTTCCATCACAGCAAAAAATAGAAGAATATATAAAATAGACACGGGCATTTTCCCTAACAACACTGTAAGCTTACAGTTTGCTTAAACAAAATTTAAGTACATTGTTGTTCAAAAGCAGTGCTAAATACAAATTGCATCTAAATTCTTCCTGCATATTCCAGAAAACACTGGGTACGGACAGTGTTCTGCACTCCTAACTCTAGTGCCCTAACCAAAGTACTTAAATTGACAACTTAGTTCTAGGATCCATTACAGTCTAGGAAGACAGGGGTAGGCTTTTCTGAGACAAATTACTCTATAGGCAGATGATAATTTTTTTTAGCAAACTGTCTATATGAGTCCATTTCAGAGAAGTTTCAGATTTAACACCTGTCAAGTCTTACTAGGCAGGTGGGTTTCAGTGCCACTGTTGCTTGCTGTTTCTTATTCCAGCCTCAACCATAACTCCTTAGTAATGCTGTTGTAAGAGGTTATCCTACAAAGGAGATAGGAACTTGTATAAATATAAGTGTTAAGGGCTTCCCACTGGCTAACTTCAGTGACTTTTTTATTTTCCTTTCACCTTTCTGAGGCACCTAATACTTCCAGCAGTTGGGAGAGCCCATGAACTTATCTTTAACAGGGGGCAGGTCTTAGGATTGAGGTATTCCAGGACCTTTCTTAGTGTCCTTATTCTAAACACCATCAGTGTTTGTATGTCAGGCTGCATGGTAAGGAATGTCTAACCACCAGAAAAAAAATTTCTTTATTTCTGATGATATTAACATATTTTTGTGAGGAAATAGAAATCAAGTGTGATTATTTATGGGGATAATTTTGTTTCCAGTATGATAGTATGCCATTCAGTCAGTCTTCTCTTGCTGGAAGTGAATGACTTTGGAGGTTTTAGTTTGGATTGTTTGTTGGTTTTCTGTTAAATATAATTTTACATAACTGTTTTATAGATTTTTCACATGAACAGGCATTTCACCAGTAATAAAAATACACTCTTCTTAGACATATTTTTTCCTGAGGAGAGAAGAAGAGAGATAAAGCAAAATAAGGGCCTTCTACTTCAGTGTTTGAGCTGTATGACTCCTCTTCATGTTATAGTTCTATATATCTGTAGATAAATCTGTGTAGAAACTGAGATTCTTTAACATGTGATATTACAGTATTCCTTCCTAAGCATTGTGGCCTCACCCCTAGAAATTACTTATCAATACTTAGAAGTTCAACTCAGATAGCTGTTTTGTGTGTTGTATACAATTTGCTTGCAGAAGAAACATCCATCACATAAATGTAGGAGACAACCAGGGTTACTGTTTTTTCAGGTAAAAAGTTCTCTTCTGAAGGATCTGCTCACAATGAGAACAAATGCAAATATGAGCAAAACTTTGCAAAAAGTCATGGGTATACTTGATGGTTTCTCCTGATTATGTGCTGTTTGTTGCTGTTGAATTACTGTATTTAATACTAATTAAGAATCCTTTGTATGCCTAAAAGTTCTTATTTCTGAAGTATTCCAGAGAACCTGAAATGGCATTATTTCTAGTGCATCTAAACTAACAAGTGTCAAGATATTTTCTGATTCGTCTGTATTCATGGGGATGCAATACTCTTTTCTGTCTTCCATTTATAACTGCTATTATTAACTCCTCCACCTTTTCCCTTTTCCCCAAAGTTATAAAAGTAAAAGGGTATAGGAAGTTTCTTGCCTGTCCTAGTGTCTCTACTGAAACACAGCTGCAGCAGTTTACAAAATCCCATGTGAGGAGAGCTGGCCTCACTACCCAGAAATTCAGAAACTGAAGCCATACAGGTTTCAAACCCTGAGTAACAGCATAATGCTGAATGTGAGCAAACAGCTGTTTATAAGCTACCTCAGCCTATATGTAAACATGAAGACCCCAACAAACAGCTGTCATAAATAGAAAACATATTTAATATGTAACTCAGGTTGGAAAGTTATTAACTGAAAAATGTTGTATTGATGAACTGTTCTAAGAACTGTGTAGTTTGATGAAGAGCTTCAGTGCTGGTGTAAGGTCTCATTTGCCAGCTCAGGAGCACAGGCTTCTTTAAAACACAACTAAAAGTCCCATGGGGTTAATCACCAAGCCTTTGCAAGTTCACTTCCTCACATTTCCTTTCCCCCATGGCATTATAAAAATCAATAACCAGAACTCTCACCACACAAAATTGTGGAATGCTTTACCCAGGCTAGTTACTATAGTGATTAAAATGATTCTTTGAGGTGCTGAGAGTCTCCCTGGAAATTTCATCAGCACTGTTGTCAAGTAGAACTAAATTAATTTGTTCCAGTGTTTTGTGTCCTGAGGCACAGTCCTCTCAAGCTGCTCCTCCTGCCCATATTTGAAATACTCAGAAATGGACTGGCCAGAACCTTGAATTATGCTTGTTTCTGAAACTTAGAGGAAATTTTGTTCATCCTTTCTAAGTATCTGCCCACCATGAGTGAAAGGATCAGAGCAGTTTGTATGAGTAAGATTTTATGTCTGCAAGAAGATAAGAAGTGCCCATACGAGGCTAGACCAGCAAGTAATTGAGTCGTGGGTTCTTGAAGTTTCTGACAATGGCATAAGGAGATGGGCAGGAAAAACACACAGTCCTGGTTGTATCTGCAGTCCATTTCTTATTGCTTTCCTCATCATCTAAGGTAGTTTTATGGGTTTTAAAGAGTAGAACTGTGCCTTGTCCCTTTAGCATGTGCTTATTGCTTTCTCTTCCTCTGAATTTATCTAATCCCTTTTGCAACTGGTGACATTTTCCTTTCCAGCACCCTACAGCACCAAATAACATAGGTTCACTACATACTATGAAAAGAAATGCTTTCTTTTACATGTCCAAAGCTAATTTTCTACCAGGTTCCGTGAATGCCTTCAGTTCAACAATTGTGAGATTTGATGAACAGATAGTCCAGTACAAGCTTGTGAACCTCAATCAAACTGCTCCCTGGTTTAATCCTGTACAAGCTGAACTCCCCTCCCCTTACTGGCTCACTTTGTAAAACACCTGTTCCATCCATGTGGTAATTTCATTACCATTTTCTATGTTTTATTTTGTTTAGATTCAGTTGCTACTTCATAGCAAGCAGTAGTGTTATCACAGTATCTTTTTTGTTAAGCTAAGACACTTCTTGGGAATCCCTGATTATACTTTGAGTTTTGTTTAGATTTTCGTATTTGCAAATTCCAAAGTAGATTTCATGTTTCTGCTACTCAAAGGATTCTTATTTCAGCTTCCTGTTGGACAAAATAATCAGCCTGGGACAAATAAACTTCCCCTGTGTTTTACAACTATGAAAGTGAGCTCACTCCCAAGCCTTTTTCACACACTGCGAAGGTACGAACTATTCTGTGTGAGATTCACTGCAACTAAATTTAGACATCTACAGTTGTCATGGTTTAAGTACAGTCAGTAACTCAAACCCATGGAGCCTGCTCGCTCACTCCCCCACCTTCCTCCCCCCACTCCGCACCCGGAGGGATGAGGAGGAGAATCAAGAGAATGTAACTCCCAGGGGCCAAGATAAGAACAGTCCAGTAACTAAGGTATAACACAAACCACTGCTGCTACAACCAATAATAATAATGATAAGGGAAATAACAAAGAAAGAGAATACAGTCGCTCACCATCTGCCTACCAATACCCAGACTGACCGAGCAGTGATCTAGTCCTTCTGGGTAACTGCCCACAGTTTTACATCCTGGGCATGACGTGCTGTGGTATGGAATACCTCTTTAGCTAGTTTGGGTCAGGTGTCCTGTCTCTGCTTCCTCCTGGCTTCCCCTCCTCCCTGGCAGAGCATGAGACTCAGAAAGTCCTTGGTCAGACTAAACATTTGAGAAGTAACTAAGAACATCAGTGTTATCAGTGCTGTTCCCAGGCTGAAAGTCAAAAACACAGCGCTGCACCAGCTACTAAGAAGGAGAAAAGATGACTGCTACTGCTGAACCCAGGACAACAGTTTAGTTGACTAGATCTGAATTTGTCACTTTGGCTTCCTTTTATAGTGACAAGAGACAAAAGGCCCTTTTAGAGCATGATTCAGCTGAGCTATTTAGATATTTACTTAAGAGTAAGATGAATCATGTCCTGTAACTTTCCCCTTTTCCTTGACTACCAAGGGAACTAGAATGTTGACTTCTGCAAGTAGATTTCATTGCAGACTCCTCTCTGTTATTTTGACACCATTTTCCAGCAAAAAGTTAGACTGGGTATTATGGGATGATTAACTTGTTATAGCAAACTTTTCAACTTAATTCCCGTTGAACTATAAGCTAAAGTTGCTGTGGCAGGTATGATATGGTCAGTGAAAACAGACCTGATAGGCATCACTAACTCTGTAGTTACTATTAATCAAATTCCAACTAGAATATATTTTCCCAACCAGTGTTAATAACTAGCTTTTTCTCCAGAACACATTTTTTTTTTATGCTGTCAATAAGAGTTCTTTCACAATATCTTTGCCTCTATAGTTGCTGGCCTCAGCAACTTTGACAGCGAAGCTGATTTTCAAATTTTCATAGAAGATACTGTTTGTCTTTGACTTAGATTTTTTTACTCTCTGATGGACAGTCATCAAATATCTTTGAAAATGATACTAAAACTCTTATTCTACCATAAAATGATACAAAACTCTTATACTTCCAAGCTGTTCACTCATTCATCTATTGCTTCACATAGGTAATTAGAGAAAGTAATTCACTACAATAAACTTACGGTTATATGCATATATTGTTTCCTGATTTACCTTTCATCATAAATGTGTTTATTTCTACTATTACATTGGTCTATTTAGCTTTGTCCAACTTTAAGTTCTTAGTTGTGCAGACAACACAGCAGGACATAAACAATCCAGGAGGTCCCTGGAGTGTACTGATGAGATCTTGTTTCCCCGAGTGATAGAGAAGCTGATGATATGTGCTCTGCTAGTCCTGATATTCACCAAGTACAAGGGGTTAATTGAGAATGTGAAGATCAAAGGCATCTTTTGCTGCAATGACCATGAAATGATGGTGTTCAGGAACCTGAGTGCAGAAGGAGAGTCCTTCGAATCTCAACCATTCTGTAATTTGGTGACTGCGAAGTAAAAACAGAAATAAAAGGGTTTCTTTCTCTTCAGAATAAGAATCAGTTAATATACATCCACTGTGATGAGTTTCAATGAGTTTTACAAACTTTTAAGTTTTTGAGCTCTTCAGAGCAAGTACTGATATTGCAATGTGTTACTACTGGTGTCTACAAAGTGATGCAGTGTAGTATAATTCTTGCACCTTTTTTTTCCAAACACCAAGTTTTCTCTTCACTCTTGTTATTTGTTGTTAACATGTGCAATACATTGTGTTGGTTTTATGAACTGCAGGGCAGGTCTTGACAAACCTGTCAAGGCATCTTTTAAAACATCTTAGACTCCACTCTGGCAAGAAAATCTAAACAGTGACCATCCTTAGCACATTCCAATGTATTGCGCCTTTGACTGACAAATTTTATTGTTTGTTAAATGTTGTCTCAATTTCTTGATAATTTGTATTATTTATTTTAATCATTATCTCACAATAGATCTCATTTGTCCAAACCTTGAAGGGCTTAGATCAGTCATAACCCTTTCTGGTTCTTTCACTTTCTGTAATATGTATTTTTTAAATATATTAATCATATTTTTACATTGGGTGCCTGTGGAGACAGTGTTCTCATGGGAGAATGGATAATTGGTACATGAACTCTGAATAAGCCCAAAAGATACAGCAAGGCCATGAGAGGCCCGAGGAAGCCTAAACAAGCAAGATAAGAAGAAGCTGGAATTAGCAGAGTTAATGAGAACTGTGGACTGTTGGCAAGCTTTCGAGGTCAAGTTCTCACACCTGTGCTTAACCAATTATGTGTTAGTCACTAAGGGTCTTCAAGACATGTATCCAATCATAGTATGCCAAATCACTGTAAGTGCATGTAAGAAACAGTATATAAGGAGTTAAGGCTTTGCAATAAATGGCTTTTGTCTGATCATATTGATCTCTGACTGGGTCAATTGTTCTGCGGCAGGTGCCATACTTCACATTTGAATAGAGGGAGTTTCATGGTTAGCCTCCTCTGGCTGACTTAACTGAAAACTGTTTAAAAAACATCAGGGGATTCAAAGCCAGCTGTCATCAGGGTTGGAGCTTACTTAAGACTACTTCCTCCTTTGCTTTCATGCATTACTTGCAGTCACTGTATGAAGAACTGTATAAATCTGTCCTTGTCTTCACATTATAGATCTGGTGAGATTTCCATTTTTCTCTTCAGAGTACTTAGCAGTTTGTTTTATTCCTGGTTATTATGGTTAACAAATTCAGTTGTACTAAGAATTGTCATTCCTGCAATTTACGTCCAAAGGCTCCAACCCTTAGAATAATCTGTGGTTGTGCACTGTGACCCATAGTCTCCCTGGCAGCCTGTTTCCCCTTTATCTTTGTGTTACCTTTAACAATCAGTTATATCTTTTCTTCCTCTGCTAGTTCATGCTTTTTCTATTTCTCTCTCCCTCAGAAGCAAAGGATGCAGAATCTGGCCCTAAATCTCTACTGAGGATTTCTCTCACTTTCTCTTTTATTAAAACCACACCATGAAGAGCATCTCTTCATTAAGTAGGCTCATAATATACTTTTCCTCTTGTTCTCATTTCTTTAAGATTTTTCTCCTTTTATTCCTTCCTAGTATATTTTTGAAAGTTGATTTTTTGTATTACTTTAAGATTGAATTTCTTTATTTTGTGATGAACTAAAAGACCATCCACTATTCTTTCAGCTTTCCCATAAAAAGGGACATATTTTAAACTTATGTGTACAGCACCTAAAACAATGATTTCCTGCTCTATGTCAAAATTTCTTAAAGGCAAAAGAAATAACAATGTAACAATCATTTTATATTTTAAAACAATTAAAATTTCATAGTTTCGTATTACCTTAATATTGTATTACCATTAATTAACAATAATAATGTGTTATTATAGCTTTTCTGTAATATATTGCTCCTTAGCAATTATTTTGATCATCAGCTTAGAAAGTAGCATGAAAGACTAATTACTCACAGCAAAATTTTTGGCTTATGGAAATAAGCAGACTTTTCCCCCTGCCTTTATTGAAGCTCGGTCTATTATTAGGGAGAATTAATGAATACTAATTGGTTCACATTCCCTATGGAATCACTGTAAAAATCAAGTATAAGCAAAGATACAAACTGGCCCCCATTAAAGATGTCAAATATATCTAATGTGTCATATACATATGAGTATGCTAACATACAAGAATATGATAGCTTTAAATCATTAAATATTGCTCCTCAGCAAGTGATTTATTTTGCTGAACTGTCGTTACCAGCCATATTCAAATCACTGCTAACATTTCTCCTTCATTTTTTTTTGTCATGGTTCAACAAAACATGACACTCATCCCTCTGTGCCTTCTTCAGAAATTTTTGCAGGTTTACTCACATGCCAGTATTCAGACTTTGACTTTGCAGCATGAATGAACTTAAGATAATACAATGAAACACAATGAGGTCAGGCAGAAATTACCATTTCAGTGAAGTATTTCTTACTGCATAAAAAGATTTATTTGGATTAGACGAAATGTCATCTTTTGCAGCCAGAAGTGGGCTCCTTGAATTATTTTACCAGGGATTGAAGGACTAAACACCATTATACTTCTCCGTCTTTGCCTATCAGCCAGAGCACTCAGTTATAAATAAACAAAATTAATTCTCATGGGGGACACCTCTCCCCAGCAATTGGAAGATATCAGGAAATTATGAGTTGAATATCAGCACTGTTCACTTCACCAGGTTTTCTAGCAGTTTAGCAGCTTTTGGTATTTGAAATCTTCTAACAGTCAGGGGGAATCTCAGATTTTCAGGTTTGGTGGAACATCTAGTTGAAAATAACCCTTTCCGGTTTCCAGTCATTAACAGTGTGAAAGTACTGTCATGATTCCCTTCGGAAGTAGCTGATGTTCTCAAACTTTATCTTCAGAATGCATTTTCTTTTTCCTTTTCGCTGTAACCATTATAAACCCCTTAATCTTAGAAAAAGAAAGAATGGGGTATAGGGCAAGATCAGCAGCTAGTATCTAGAAAACATGAGTTGTAACCAGCTTGCACAAACTCCCTTAATGCTAGCACAGGTGCTGGATGTGGGTACTTCCTCTGATTCTGGGCTTCTGGGAATATATTAAGGAATAAAACACTTTCCTTAGAAGCCTTAGATAGGACCTTCACATCCCCTATCCCTAGACATAGTGTCTATTTTTCCAAGCAATTTCTATTTTTTTATATACTCTCATATTGAAACTATCTACCCTTCATCTCCCTCATCTTTCTTTCCTCTGGTTTTCTGTAACAGTGGTGCTAAAAGAGTCACAGATGATTTTCAAAACTGTCCTTCTAGTAACAGGCAGAAAAAAAAAGTTGGTCAATATGTCCCTGGGGATAAAAATCTCTCAGGATTTTATCAGGTTTCTCAGAGCTCTTCTGATTCCCCTCCAGCCATGCAGTTAGTGCCATGTGTACTTTCCTATGTTAATTCCATAGGAGAGGGGGCTTACTCTGCAAATTTCTGCTTCCTAAAGTTTTCTCAATCACCTTCCTTTCAGGTGAATTTCCATGCTGACCTTAGGCCGCTTAAGAAGTCCTACTGCTTAGATATAAGTTCATTTAGAAGAAAGGTCAGTTGGGATTTTTAGTCCCCAGCTCACTGTGACAGATTTTGGTTTGAATTAGACATCCTCCAGGCTAATACATTTTGATTCTTGTGTATTGTTAGCCATCTGTTTCCATCCCTTGGGATACCAGTCAAGGT